GTTTTGTAAGAGCAAGGTCTGGTGAGTTCAATTTTTGGGTACTGGTATTCAAGAACTTTTGATTTTAAGATGCTTGTCGTTGCACCAGTGTCGACTAAGCATCTGATTTCCTCCTTTCCTATTGTCCATGTTATTATGGGTAGGTTTGCCCTAGGCAAGGTATCAAAAAATTTACTTCTTCTGCCTGATTTTCTTCCAAAGTTCCGATTTCCATAGGAGTGGAATCGTTCCTTTGGGTATCGACGCTCATATGAGACATTCTTGTTTGTCCTGAGCCATTGTTTTTGCTGTTATAATTTGGTCTAGGATTATGGTTGAGTTGTGTTCTGTTATCTGGCTGTTGATTTATTTGACCAGTGTTCTTGTTGTTATAAGGGGGCTGGCTGTTTTGATTTGGTCTGTTGTATGTGGTGTTGGTATTAGTGTTAGTGTTAGTGTTAATGTTAGTGTTAGTTTTTGTGTTAATATTAGTGTTAGCGTTATTTTGTTTCTGGTAAGTGTTGTTAATTGTTTTTCTATATCTCTGTGATATAGCCCTAGGATCATCTAGTGCTTTAATGTTTGAATATTTTGTTTGAAGAGCATGCATAGAAATTCCTTGATCGACATGAATTCTGAATGGGGTGTCTATTTTGTTTATTAATATATTTAACAAATCTCTATCTACTTTATCGTTTTCGTATATTGTAGGCTTTAATTCGTCGAACATGTATATTTTATTTATCTCGCATTTTGCCTTTTCGAATTCTAAAAATAGCTCTCTTAAATTACTTACTTTAATGTATCTGCATCTGTCGAACACATCCTCGTAAGTTGTCTTCGGGCGCATTTGCTCCATTAGTTTCGTCTTCATCTGTTGCCAAGTTGGTTCCATCCCCAACTGTCTGATGTAGTCTGCTGCTGCTCCCGAGACCTTCTCGTTGGCGACGATGCTGGTCCCGGAATTGAATTAGCAGCTCATTTCCTTGGCACAGCGTCATGAGAAATTCAACTGATCTAATGAAGGCCAACACATCATGTTGATCATCCAGCTGTCGTAGTTGGCGAAATTGCTGGATGATGTCTTTGTTCGATAACCACTGGGTTGGTTGTTGTTGTTGTTGTTGTTGTTGTTGTTGTTGTCTGAGTGAGTTTAGCGCTGCTTCTTGCTGGAGTATGACTCCTCTTAGATTTTGAAGCTCCTCTTCCATAATTGTATTTTCGATTCTGCGGTTTTTGTCAAATTTATGGATATTGCTTTTGTTCGTTGAGTACCTTGGGTACATAAAATTGTCACTTTTTTGAGTTAACTGCTAACTCACGAATTAGTTTGCTGTTGCGGTTTTATTTATTTCTGCACAAATTTGTCGGCAACGTCAACTGTTTTCTTTTATGCATACGTTGCAGTTTTTATAGTTTTATTTTTGTTTATGCGGATTAACTTCGGTTAAATAGAACGCACTTGTTCGGTTTCGGCTGCGCCAGTTATGGTTTTTGCACTATACTTCATATATCTTGAGATACACAAGTACAATAAAAAACTGTTAATCACTGAAACAAAACTGTCTTTAGATGTTCATATACTTTAAGTAATAGTTCAATAAAAACACACTTAATATCTTTAGATATTATAATTCTTGCTTTATTGATAAAAAGACTTCTGTTCTGTTCGGAATGAATCTTAAGACTAACTGTAAAGTATTTCTTGGCATATGCAAATGCCTGTTTATATATATATATATATGTTGCTTTATTTTATATATACGTTGCTTACATTTGTTGTTGCTAGCTGGGCATTTACAACGGAAGCGGCGAAGACGCTTACGTTGTTTATGCTTTTGTAATCTGATCTCTTTTTAAATATTTCTGCATGATTATGCTGAGTTGGTCATTATTGTCATTCCCATGCACAAGTGCAATTGGTTGTGCAATTTGCATGAGCGTATTTGGTTGCATTGGTTGCATTGGTTGCATAACTCGTGCGCCAATGCCACCGGGGGCTGCAAAACCGAGAGGCGAGTTTTGCAGCAGCGCGCGGCGTGGGCATTGGCAGCGGCAGGCCATCAGGTCAAGGGGCATAAAGGAAAAGATGCCTAGCCTGAAAACAATATTTTTATTAAAAATGTGATTGAGACATAAAAATATTAACCCCATTCACTTACCGGCAGAATGCAGCATTGCCAGCGGTAAGGGGAAAATGCAGCTGATAACGTTAACAGAGCGTTAACAGCAGCGATCAGCGCAGAATGGAGCATCGAGGGATGGAGCGACGTAAAACGGAGCAACGCAGCGGAGACGGGCGCCAAATTCAAACACGATGGTCTCGTGTTTTCCCGAAGGAAGAGGGGAGTGTGAGGAGCAATATAGGTATGCACGTATTAATGTATATAAACGTATGTATTCGCTGTGCGTTTATATGCATATTCGTGCATATACATGTTGCTCCACACAGCGACGCGAATACTGTAGGAGCGACCCTCGCACTGGAAAGGGGGGTCAAAGTCCTTTTAGAGGCGGTCTCGTTCGCTCCTACAGATTCAGCAATGGGTTCGCGTCGCACGCATGACGATCATCGGTGACCGTTAGCCGAGGTGCCGTTCGGGCCGGGTGATAGCAGTGGACGTTTTCACTCGCATGGCAACAACGGTACTTCGGCCAATGGGAGGCTGCCACGCAATTTGGCGGGAAAGTGGCGTCACCCAGATCACGCCACTTTACCGTTTTTATGGGCACGAGCAGCAGGAAGGCCCCGATCCCGAGCCGAACAGGCCCCGTTACCACACGAGGCAGGGCCTGTGGCTGGGGTATAGAAGGCCACCAGCGGCTCCATACGGGAAGTGAAAAAGGGTCGAAAAGCGATACGAGAGAGAATTGCCGTCGAAATTTATACAAAGTGTAAGTGAAGAAAGTGTCGAAATCAAGTCAACGCGAGTAGCAAACAGGACTCCCAGGACACCGCGGGAACAGCAAGGACATCGTGGGAACCACAAGGACATCCAGTGGGAATCCTTGCAGATCATCAGCAGGCGCCGATCAGGACATCGGTGCATATCAGCAACGTAAGCAAGGCCTGCACACCTGGGTGAGTTCGCGTAGCCGTGCGTAAGAGAAGTGCTTGTGAACGAAGCTAGTGTTGTGCTGTGAGTGAGCGAGATAGTAGGAGAGATCTGAATAGCTGGCGAACCGCCAGAGTTTACAGATCCAGATCCTGGCGTTTCTCAAATCCTTACGGTGAGCTAGCGTGTTCAGCACAACACTCTCCCAGCCGGAGTGCGTTGAACAAGCGCTCAGTAGGTGTGCGTCGCTAAGCAAACCAGCGAGCCAGCATACATTTACATAAGTGACGTGTACATTTCATATTTATTTAACCCTCTAATGCTGTTTTCTTAACTATTGGAGGAAAATAATTGGAACAATTTTTTTAAAGTAAATTTAGGCTTCTAAACTCAAAAATGAACTCAGAAAAAATATAGAAGTTTTTGTTTAGCCGTCAGGTGCAAAAAAGGTAATAAGTGTCTCAAGACACTCTTGGGCATCTAAGAGTAAAAAAAAAACGTATTTAATAGAAATGTTAATTTTTATTATTCATATGATATGTTTTAAAACAATTTTTTGTTGATGTGCAGCATAGATGTAAATTACATTTTTCACAAATGCATTGCGTTTGTGATGATTTACAGAGCTTGCACCGTCTCTTATTGTCCCGATCCAACCAATTTGGGAAGTGGTTGACTTGGTCAAAACGTAATTCCGCTATTGGGTATAAAGTTTTTTTCCAAGTTTAAGCTCAAGCTGTGATGGTCGGGCCCGTGGGGATTGTGAAAAAGGTGACCGATCTGTTCGCAAAGATGGTGACTGCATCTGGTCTTGTAGAAATACGGTACTGACTGGACGACCTGCGTGGGCTTTATTTCTAAAAGCCACCAATCCTTCAGCGATTAACTCGCGAAAATCGGGAAGTTCCATCAATTTGTCACTGATTGCGTTTTGTTTTTGAATTCGCCTATAAAGAATATAAGCATTTGTTGCTGCCATATCAATACAATGATAAAAAATTCGAGTAGCAGCATCTTTGGTTTTAGCTTTGATGTGATAACGGCCCATAAGTCCATCCATAAGATCAACGCCGCCCATATGTGAGTTATATTCCCGAATTATTTGCGGACAGTCAATTTCAATATGTTGCTTTTTCTTCCTGTCATAACGGTCAATCTTAAGTGTTCTTTCACTTAAACTTTCCGTAGCAAACGGTTTAACACCTACGTAAGTTGACAATAAGCGAACGGCCTTGTTATCCTTCCAAAGTACATTACTGACTTCTACCCCGTATGACTTGCCTACGAACTCAGTCGAAACCCCTCTCGGCTTTTTGTTAATGATTGTATCGTCAGGTAGCTTGCAATTGGGGATTCGATTCGCACGTACTGTGCCAAGGCTATAAATACCCTTTGCTCGCAAATATACCATTAGAGGCAAAGAGGTATAAAAATTATCAAAGTAGACGATGTGGTGCTTAAAGCTTTGTACTGTTTTGGTCAAACGTACTACTATGTTGGCCGAAGCACCAAGATCTGGGTGACCAGGTAAGACAATGTTATCGCCTGCTCCACTATAAATTTCGAATCGGTATGCATAGCCATATGAATCACACAAAACGAACAGCTTAATACCCCATTTGTATGGCTTATTGGGCATATATTGTCGTAAGTGATGTTTCATCTTTTGTGCTACACATTTGTTCGTCAACACAGAGGCGTGGTTGCTTTGGCACTGAGTCAAATCTTGTATTAAGATAATCGACAAGTCTTCTAGTGCGAAATAATGGATCGTAGCCTGGTTGTCCCTTTTTGATCCGCTGGCTTTCATCACGTAATGACAGGTGCTGTTTAATTGTCTCAAATTTTGTGCGGTTCATACTGGATGCAATGGGTAAAAAGGCATTTCTTCCCCAGTAGCTTCTCATACTCGGGTAGCGATATATTGACATATATATCAAAATTCCTATATAATGATGAACATCTTCAATGTTCATTTGGAATCTTGTTGATATGTTCTCCACTAAAAGCTGCGCGCATGGTTTCTTCCACTATCATATCCATGATTTTGGCATCAAAAAAATAGCGAAATATCTCTGAAGGAGTTTTGAGATTCATTATTTCAGCCGGCAATGAAGAGTCGCCTTGAAAAGCAACATTGTTTACATGCAATTGCATAAATTGCTGTCGCCACAAAATTTTGCTCGGCTCCTTTGCTATTGATTCAATACCTAAAAGACATTAATTAACTAATCACATAATATAAAATAATATATCGCAATGTTGTTGTCTTACCAGCACCAGTAAAGCCACCAGAAGATGGCAAAGCCACGCATGTTATACCTTTAATAGTTGGTAGTGGCGATCGTTGTCTTTTCAGGGATTTCCTAATAGGCTCAGACTGACCATTATCAGGCACATTCTCTTCATCATTACAAGCAAATGATATTGTGCTAATATCCTCCACAGCAGCTATTAGAGTTTCTGCCACATTTAAGTCATCTTCCTCGTCGTCACTTGACTCGGATAACTCTGCATCGGAAGGGACATTCTCAAACAATTCCAACAACTGTTCATCAGTTAAATCGGATAATTTGAATCGTACCCGGTTTGCCATCTTTATATGGTTAATATGTCAGTTTCTAGTAAAACAATCCATATAATGAATAAGTGTACACAAAAAATTGCAAGCAGTTGTGAAATAGCTGCTGGTAAAAAAAAGTTGCTTTGCAGCCCCAAAAGTGTCTCAAGACACTTATCACTGTTTTTAAGCTACAACGCACATTTTTTATTTATTTTTATTTTTGTAAACTAGTTTTAATTGTAAATAAACATACCTTCCAATAAAAAATTATTTTAAATGGATTGCTTTCACAGATTTTGTAAAATAATTGTTGCACAACAGCACATGCAGCAGATCAATTTACACGCGAGTTACCAACCCAACAACACACACAAACACATATTCAATAATTCTTTGTACACACATAAGCACACACAAAAACACTCAAACACACACAAACACATATTCAATAATTCTTTGTACACACATAAGCACACACAAAAACACTCAAACACACACACAATTATAAAATACCTACACATAAGCATTGTACTCTTTGTAAGAAGATACGAAACAAAGAAACCAAAAAACTTAGAAATAAAGACTCACTTCTGTTTTGGCATTTGAATGAAGAGGACGTTTTATTAATATCTTGACACCTACATATATACACCATCTAGCTCCCGATGGTAATTGGCGCAGCCGGTTAAGGAATGGATCTACTTATAATCATGCTAAGTATCATTATTTTTGGTGAAGTTCACTAAAGTGGAGTAACTGTGTATAAGATGCATTGCTAAATGGAACGGAATCAATCGCTGATAATCGTTACAACAAAAAAAAAAAAAAAAAAAAAAAAATATATATATATATATATATATATATATATATATATATATATATATATTGCAGTCTATGTATAAACATGTACACATGTACCTAATTTTAAATAACAAATGTGTTGCGATTGGGCAGAATCAATCGTTGATAATTGCTGTTATCGCAACATTATTCATTAAAAATATATACATATGTGGATATGTATGCATATGAACATCTTGTGGTGTGATATATGAAATCAAACGCTGATCATCGTACTTCATACACAACAAACATTCATTCACAAACTCATGATGTGGTGGGGTGGAATCAATCACTGATAATCACTACTGCCACAGCATGATTAAACAACATAGTAATGTATTTGTGAATTTGTACATGCAGTACATATATGCAGACATACGTAACTAGAAAATCGTCTATTATTTCACAACTACATGAAATTTTAAGACACGCTATGAAAAATAAATAAAAAGCAGCAACGCCACAATTCTGCGTTTCGCCGCCGACCTAACGGAATCTTGAATTTCGGTCGTCACTCTAACATTAAAGAGGCTCTGATGTCCGGCGCCACTAGACACGCGACAGAATTACAACGCTCAAAACTCAAGAAATTTCGGCCGACAATAACAAATCTATGCAACATACAATATATGGCGCCACTAATCTGTCTTTCGACGCCGCCACCGTCGCTTATTTCGGCGAAACGAAATATGCCTGGCGTCACACATTCGCACAACTACGCTACAAAATATGTAGTTTGTAGTGAAAGACACTATTCAATGAGCAACTCGCAAAACTACAAGATCAGTTGCGACACAGAGCTCAAACAGAAAAGACATACATACAGCTTACAAATAATCTCATAGTGCAGTGATAAATAGTCGTAATCGCTCATGTGAACAGAAAAGTCTATAAAATCAAACGTTGATAATTATATGACTTAACTGATCGGCTTTGGTAAAAACACATACGCAAATTTTCATAGTATATATCATTTTCATTCTTACGTTGTTTTCCCCTACGGTGAATTAGATCCGATGAATTCTGGCGCAACAACTTTTATACCAACGCAGCATTCGTAAAACTGGTGTCAATACCACAAGCAATAGCATTTTATTAAGGAATGTCAAAGCGATATACACTTCGGCCAAGAACATCTACCAGGCAAATCATAAAAATAAGCGAAAACACAGTTTATCCTCCCAACGAAAACTCAATGGACTCCGGCAACGCCTCGGTATCACTTCCGTCTACTATATCGACTTCAAACGGTACACCTTCAACAATTAGCATGGATAACACTCCAACAACTATTGTTTTAACTGAGGGCATTCCTGCTTCTTGTAAGGTTTCTACTCCCTTTAAAAATAAATTAAGGCAAACAATCACCGAACCCAGCTTTACCACAGATATTGTACTGGACATCTTAAAGAAAACATTAAAGCCAAAAAGGATATGCACAATTTACACATCAGACAACATTTTTAAGATAGTGCAAGATGTGTTTTCTAAAGAGTTTTCTCACAATAAACTTTTCAAATTGTTTAGGTGTACAACTTTCCTAAATGATATTACTAATACTACTGACCAAGAAAAAATTGTCAATGATTATCACAATAATAACAATCACCGAGGTATTGATGAAACACTAATGCATCTTAAAAGAAAAGTTTACTTTCCATATATGAAAAGTAAAATAAAGTACCACAAACTCCTTGCAAACCAATGGAAATAATTCATATAGATATATACACGATAAACAAAAACTATAACCTTACACTAATAGATAAGTTTTCAAAATTCGCATGTGCCTACCCTATACCCAACAGGACCTGCATAAACGTCGTTACTTCCATGAAACATTTTTTTAGTCTTTTTGGAATACCTAAAAAACTAATCTATGACCAAGGTGCAGAGTTTTCCGGCAGTATATTTAAAGACTTTTGCAATCAATATGACATCCAATGTCATGTAACATCCTTCCAACAGTCATCCAGCAACTCCCCGGTAGAACGACTACATTCAACACTTACCGAAATTTATAGAATAATCACCGAACTAAAAAAAAAATACAAGCAGACAAATAAACACGAAGAAACTCTTTCTGAAACACTTCTAACCTACAATAACGCTATACATTCATCTACAAAACTCACACCTTTCGAACTTTTCACTGGACGCACTCAAATTTTGGACCAACTATTAAATACGACAATAATCACGAATATTTGCAAAAATTAAATTTCTTCCGATCAAAATTATACCAAGAGGTAAAAGAAATGTTACATAAAAATACCAAACACAATTTGGATAAACTTAATGTTGCTAGAAAATCTGCAACACTTGTATCCAATAATGATACCATATTTAGAAGGGAGAATCGTAGAAATAAGCTAACACCAAGATTCTCCAAACATAAAGTTTTACAAGATAATGGCAACACAATTATCACTACACACCCACAAAAAATACATAAATCTAAAATAAGGCGAACAACATAATAATAGGCAGTATAATTTTTAATTTTAATGTATACTATTCATAGTACTTAAGCATAGTATAAACAAAAGATGACATTTTATATTATACTTTATCTTTATTTTTGTGTTGTGTTGGTCTCACATCCTTTGAGTATGCTCAATCCACATAACAAATCAGTGGTATCCACCTGGACACCCTGTTTTTAATCATTTGCTTCATTTTGGGGAGGGAGGAGTTACCAACCCAACAACACACACAAACACATATTCAATAATTCTTTGTACACACATAAGCACACACAAAAACACTCAAACACACACAAACACATATTCAATAATTCTTTGTACACACATAAGCACACACAAAAACACTCAAACACACACACAATTATAAAATACCTACACATAAGCATTGTACTCTTTGTAAGAAGATACGAAACAAAGAAACCAAAAAACTTAGAAATAAAGACTCACTTCTGTTTTGGCATTTGAATGAAGAGGACGTTTTATTAATATCTTGACACCTACATATATACACCATCTAGCTCCCGATGGTAATTCGCGCGAAAAAACATATGTTTTGTGTTTATGAAAATAAAAAGTACCGTTTAAAGCACTGGAGAGCTTTTAAAGCTTTTTTCTCAGTAAATTTGAATGTTTTATTAACGATCAAGCAATATTTGAAAGACAAAAAAGCTCCCTTTTTTTTTTTAAATTTAAAAATAAAATAAGTGTCTCAAGACACTTATGAGCGTTAGAGGGTTAAGAAAATATACCATTGCGCTATAAAACCTAAACCACAAGACTAATTAATTATCGCAGGGGCTTCAACAAATAAATTTGTTGGCAACGAATCCACAGTCAGCTGAAACTAGTCCAGCTTAGACTCGGGATAAACCGAAGGTTCGTTACAATATTACGGCGCTTATGTATAGCTGTTATTTATTTATTTATTTTCTTAAAGCTATTGACAAAAATGAGAGTCAATTTTAATTTAAAAAAGCCTATACAAAGTACACGATATAATTTCAATAGTAACACCAACCCGATGGGGGTATTTTATTTGCCAGTCCGGCCGGCTATGCCCACGTCTCACAGCCAAATATGGTCAGTGATACTATTGAAGCTATGAAAAGATAGTGTTAGTAAGAAAACTTAAAAAAATAAAATATTAAAATGTAGGTTATTAAACAATATTTAGCATACTTAAAATAATTCTTAAAATAATAATAAAAAATAAAAAAATAATAATAATAATAAAAAAAAATAAAATAAAATAAATAAATAAATAAAAGGAGTTAAAAAAAAAAAAAATAATAAAAAAAAAAGAAAAAAAGAATAAAATAAGAAGAGATAAAGTATAGAAAAAAGAAAATGGCCGGTAATAAGAAAAGTTGCAGAAAAGTTAATAAAAAAGAATAAGAAATAATAAAAGAAAAAGAGTAATGGAAGAGCCAAAAATAGAGTATAAGAATAGAATTGAGAAATCACTAACACAACATTAGCAGCAAAAGCGTATGCCAATGCTTATGCCTGGGCATTGTGAGTGATTTCCCTAAGATAAGCTGATAGTACACTTTTTATTTTAGGAGGAGAGAGCTCTAAGGAAAAAACGTGATAATATTTATTTAAATTAACACAAAGAACATGAAACGCACTGTGCAAAGAATAATCCCTAGTGCACACAGGTAAATGAAGCGGACGATAGTGTCTAGTTGATCGGGACGGAACCAAAAAAATTTAGACGACCCAACAAAGAGGACGAATCAATATCACCACTAATCAATTTATGCAGAAAAACAATTCCTAAAATTGTTCTGCGATTGGTTAGCGATGGAAGATCAATTAGCTGGAGCCTACTATGATAAGACGGTAATCGTAAATTACTGTCCCATCTAAGGTCTCTTAAGGCAAAGAGAAGAAACTGTTTTTGGACCGATTCGATACGATCCTGATACAGTTTATGTTGCGGAGACCATACGACAGAACAATACTCTAGGATAGGACGCACAAGCGAAGTAAATAAGCGCTTGGTAATAAAAGGATCTTTAAATTCCTTAGACCAACGTTTAATAAAGCCAAGCACACTTTTGGCTTCATTAATTATGGTAGAAATATGAAGATTAAAGTTAAGTTTACAGTCAAAGAATACACCAAGATCTTTGACTGTAAAGATGCGTCGTAAGGAATTATTGCTAATTTTATAATCAACAATTAGAGGAACGGTACGACTGAAGGTCATTGTCATACACTTTGAGCAATTTAGGTCAAGCTGGTTTGCCACACACCAAAGTTGAAATGCATTTAGGTCATCTTGAAGGTGAAGATGTCCATTTGCCCTGGAGTATGGAAGGCAAAGTTTTACATCATCAGCATACATAAATATAGTGGAATACGAGATACAACTAGGAAGGTCATTTATAAAAAGGGAAAAGAGCAATGGGCCCAAATGGCTACCCCTGAGGTACACCAGACGAAACAAAGATAAGTTTAGACATAGCTGTTCTCAGCAAGACTCTTTGGGTTCTACCCGTTAAATAGGATGAAATCCAAGAGACAAGACTGGGTGAAAATCCTAAGCGTTCAAGCTTAAGAATTAGTATGTAATGATGTACTGAGTCAAATGCTTTACTGAAGTCCGTATAAATAACATAGGTTTGCATTTTTTTGGAAAAGCTGTCATTAACAAGCGACGTGAACTCAAGTAAATTAGAGGACGTAGATCGATTTTGAACAAAACCATGTTGAGATGGTTGAATAATCGATTTGCAAAAATGCTGCAAGGCCGATGTTATGATTTTCTCAAATAACTTCGGAATAGCAGATAATTTCGCGATGCCTCTATAATTGGAAATATCAGATCTTCCACCTTTTTTATATAAGGGAATGATGAAAGATTCTTTCCAAATTGAAGGGAACACAGAAGTATCCAAGGACAAGTTAAACAATTTTAGTAATTGTGACTGAAGAGAAACACTGCACTCTTTAATCACACAACTAGGAATATTATCAGCACCAGGAGAGAAAGATGATTTCAATGTCTTAATGGCTGCAGCCAGAGAGGATGCAGTAACTTTGGGAGTATTTACAGATCCATATTCAGGAAGAGAATAAGGATATGAGTTGCTGTAGAGATCAGCAGAAGAATAAGTGGATTGAAAAAAATCAGCAAATAGATCAGAGGAATCCTGATCATTGCATGTTTTTTCACCTCCAAGGACAAATGAGGACGGCAAACCAGAGGATTTACGCTTCGAGTTTACAAATGAGAAAAATTGTTTGGGATCACGTGTAAACTGACGTTTGCAACGTGTAAGATAATTCTCATAACAGCTAGAATTTAAAAGATTGAAGTTTGACTTGGCAATGGAATATTTGGACCAGTCAATACTTGAACCAGACTTTTTGTAATTTTTAAAACATTTAGTTTTAATGTTTCTCAAGTTCGAAAGAGTTTTGGTGAACCAAGGTGGCTTATTTGAAACTGGCGAAATACGGCGGAGAGGGACACAAACATCCAGAATAGAGTTTAAGGTAGAATAAAAAAACGATGCTGCTAAATTAATATCAACCGACTCATATAAAATAGACCAGTCTGTTGAATTAATTAGTTCGTTAAGCAAAACGAAATTGCATTTACGATAACAGCGACTAAGTTTAGAAGGCATTGGAGTATTAGAGGGAGGATTGTCGATAGTTAATAAAACCTCTAAAGTGGGATGATATATATCCTCAGGTAAGGAGAAAGGAGTTGATCTCGCGACATTAATGAGCGAATCATGATTAACAAACACAAGATCAAGAGTGCGATTAAGATGGTTTGAAATAGAGTTCATCTGAAACATAGACAGGTTAAACAATTCATCAAAAAGATAGTGATCAATTGTCGGAATAAAGTAATTTGCATTACAAGTTGAAGACCAAGAAGTGTTCGGAATATTAAAATCACCCAACACAAGAAGACAATCTCTATCATTTACATGTTCATTAACTTGTTTAATACAATTTATGTGGTGAGCATAAACTTGTACATCAGAAGAGGGAGGGATATAAGAACATGTGATGTATAATGAGCACGATGGCAGAGTTAATTTAACCGCTATAATCTCCACATCATAAAGGGACGAAAAGGTAAACAATTCAGAGTGGATAATGGACTTAGCCGCAATTAACACCCCACCACCTCTGCGCGACGAACGGTCGAGTCTATAAATAGTGAAATTACTTGAAAGAATTTCACTATTATGAATATTACTACTTAGCCATGTTTCAGTGAAAGCGATAATATCATATTGTACACTGAAACTATGCAAGAAAAGACTTTTAAGTTTTGAGTTTAAGCCACGTACATTTTGATAAATCAGGGACAGCTGAGAAGAGGTTTGTAAGTAATTTAGTTTTTTGGTACAACGTTTGATGAAGATTGCACCGAAGGTAAATTTACTGAAATAGGCATCGATCTGTTACGATTTTTGGGTTTAAATTCATGAACAACTACATGAGGTGGCTAGAAATTAGGGTCACAAAGGGTTTTAAAGTGTTCTACAGGCACATTGATTT